GTAGTAGTAGTACGTACGACGACGTTAACTTAACGTAAGTAAGTAGACGTCCTACTTACTTACTTATACTACTCACCTCCACCACCCTCCTCTCTCTCTCTCTCTCTCTCTCTCTCTCTCTCTCTCCCACACTCATGCACGCACATTTTATTGACTTTCAAATTTGGAAAACCGCAGAAGTATTTAATTTATACACTTATACTCTGTTTACAGGGCCTTGATCTGCCTGAAATCCTGGTTGAAACTGAGAGACAGGGATTATCGTTTGACAAACTGCTGACAATTCCTGAACAGGATGATTGGCTTTACACAGACGGCAAATCGACTTCATGTGTAGCCTTTGTCCTTGAGATGTACAAGCAGGCTGGCCTTTTCGATCAAATTGCCGACTCCATTCAAGTTACTGAATTCACTGTATGTAATTTAACAGAGCTGTTGTCATTTTGTTTGCCAAGAAATTTGAACTTTTTCTAATTGAAAGTTGAAATTTTTAACAATTAGCATGATTTTCGGGTTACCTGTCTTGATATTTGGCTAGCTGGTCATGAATGACCTATATTTCTTTTTAAGATTTTAAGATCTTAAGATATCTTTTATTGGGGAAGAAAGAGACGATATTCTTCTTTTCCCTTTTATTAATTTTTGGGAAATCATCAAGTTGATAGCTGGCATATGCATAACCCATTTAAGTGCTCGAGGAACTTGACATTTAAAACATGAAAATGTTGCCCTTGCCTAGTATTTTAAAAAATGTATATCTGGTATTTGAATATCCTTTGAGGGTACAGTAGTCATTTTAAAATTAAAAAATGACCTGTCCATGGCTCAGGGCATTAGATCATAGTTTCAAGTATTTTTGGAAAGTAGTTGAAGTTTTCATTGGTATTTTTCCATCGCTGGAGTAATATGAATACATGGTACCACTCCAGTATTTAAAAATAATATATATTCTTGTGGTATTGTGCATATCTGATCGAGGGGCATTTTGTCACTTTTGTACCAAGAAGGAAAAATGCTATTATTCAGACACTTGAAATTTTCAAGTTTTTAGAGCATGAATGTGATTTATGCCAGTGTTTCGGACTGTTTCATTTTTTTACTATTACTGTTTGCTGGTTATGCAAGGATTATATGAATCACAAGTGGTAGCATGAGACATGTTTATCTGTAACATGGTTTTCTGCAGATAAAAGATGCATATATCCTGAAGTTTTTCGAAAATGATACAAGCCGCTTGCCTCAGTGGTGCAACAAAGGCGACGATGTGAAGCTCCCATTTTGCCAAATTCTAGGGAAATATAGGATGGAATTGCCAGGGTACAACACACTCCAACCTTATGCACAGATGAACGAGAGGTGCCCCTCACTACCGCCTGAGTACGAGAGGTCCAGAGAATGTTGATATGCATCTGTTTTTTCTCGTGGTGTGTGTATATTTGAATTGCTTGGGTAGGTACACCATAGTCCATTGGACTGGCACAGCAAGTACACTACCATTTGCCATTAGGATGTCATATATATTCCCTTGTTCAGTTTGTGTATAGCTTGCTTTACTTGGCATTTAGATTAGCTTTATGCCGCCTATTTAAGGCCCAATGTAAATGCAAATTGTTAGCATTAGTTGCTGGATTCCAATTGTAGACTTTTGGGTAGAAGACGACTGGATCCTTCTTGTATTCCCATTGCAGAGATCATATCAGGTATTAGTAACACCTAATGTTCTGTATCTGAAGGTGCAGCTTTCTTGGATTTTTGGAGCAGTTTCTGTAATTGAAACAAATTGATCATGGTTACAAGGGCGTTAAGGGTCATTTCTTTACTTCAAAATAAAGTTTGTCAAGGATTATTGCACTTTTTTGTGGATGACATCAATTTCAGGTCCCACTGATTCTTGCAAAAAAGACAAAAAATTTCAGGAGATAATAAATAGCATGGCGAAGTTGAGTAAGATGACCTCAAGGATACATTTGAGATGAGGGATGATGGAGACTTTTTCCACTCCTAAACCAATTACTTTTCCACAAGGTTAACGTCTTCAAAAAAAAAAAAACAATTACATTTCCACTAAAAATAAATCAGTAGATTATAAGATATGCCTTTATTAACAACTTTACAGAAGTGGTGAGCTATACATATTTTTTACTTTTAAAAATACACTTGAAGACTTTTCCATATATGCTGTTATATTAAGAAGTTTACAAAAGTAGTGAGCGATACATATTTTTTAGTTTTAAAAACACACTCCAAGACTTCTCTGAAATCTTCTAAAGAACTGAAGTGCTTCCCTTTTCAGTCCAAAACGAAGAGCTCTATAAAGTAAATCAAATAACATAGGTTTAGGAACCTCAAACATACATGTAATTTTTTATTTTATTTTAAAAGTAAAACACAAGGAGAAAATGAATGAAGAACTCTCTCATCCTGAACATAAGCTGGATAAGCAATCTGCCAAGATGATGGAAAGTCCACCTGATGCTATTGTATATTTCTTGGAATAAATCGTTCTCTTGGAAGTGCAACAAACTGAAGACAACTTCCAGCATCAGGCAATGGCAACTTCCGCTTGTGAAATGCTTTGGGATTACTCAAGCAACTATCACTGCACATTGCAAAGGTGCAAATTATGCATGTACAAGTTGAATGTCATTTTTCACTACACAAGCATAAGGCTGAGGTGGCAATGGCTTACGCTTCTCATATATGCTCTTAAGATTGATATAATGTCCAAACCATTACATGTGAAAACACAGACTTATAAGCTGTGGCTCTTAAACCTTTATTTCTACCTTGAAGCAGAGCTTAGAATATATATGATTTTACATATTATGTATCATAATGATGTGATTTTTTTGTTGGTTTAGAGATGTGCCAAGACCATTGGTCTTTGTAAACGAAGGTCACAAAAACTATAAGCTGGGAGATGTAAAAATTGGATGTATGGAACGTGTCATTTCTCCTTCCATAGTCCGAGTATGATTTTCTCAGACTTTCAGGGACCATATTTTTTCACGTTAGCAGGATCGCTATAACTTATTCTATTGAGTTTGCCACCGTAGAACTCAACAGTCACACCAACTTGTTCGACATACTGATTCTGCCTCTCTGAAAGAAACATCAGCTCTCACAATTCTGTTTAACCCTACATTGCCCAAGTTCATAACCCAATCCAACTCGGGCATCACCTTAGTCAGACTAGGTGAATCCAAATCAGACACCTGGAAATATCAAGCCCTAGTTATGATTCACATGTCACATTTTCTTTGGTTTTAGATGAATGGGCAGTCCCAGGCGAGGAACAGGCATGGGATCCCTAGTGATTCCTTCATTGGGACAAGCCAGTGTCCAATCATACTTGGTGACTATATAATGAATGGCAACCAAAGTTTCTACTCTTGCAAAGTCATATCCTGGACATATTCTTGCTCCACACCAAAAGCCACAAAACTATAGGGAACTGTAGGACATTGTCCCTCTGAGCGCATAGGATCAAATTTAGAGGGCTCTTTGAAGATTGTCTCATCCATATGTGTAGTGCATGCTACCTAGAATACCTGTGCCACCAAAAGTTATTCATGAGAGAGAGATTTGTGTCACCCAAAAGACTTGCACCAACAAAAACCAACAATATGCATAACTGGCAATGGGCCTAGAACACAAATTGTGATTTTAATTCATTTGGTTTTTTGGCCTAGCACGGTCTGGCCCTATGGGAACAAGATCCAAGGCCACGCTAGGGCCATGCTAACCCGGCCCATGTGCCACCTTTTCTTTGGGCGTGACAGTGGGGAGAGGGCCCCTACCTTTGATAGGAATTGAGTCTAGGATGTAGTGTTGCAAATCATCAAGCGCTTACCAATTAAGCCTAGCTCTTTTCTTAAGTGCCACCCTTAAATATGCAAATTTACACATGCAGGAATAGAGACCTGCCACCCTTTGGGTATGAGGTATCCCCCATAATGGATGTCTCTCATTGCTTTCTTGAAGCTGCCAAAGATTGGAGGGATGATCCTTAGTGTCTCTAGTGCAAGCCTCCATGTGTATTTCATCTTACCCCGATCGTCCCATGTGAGAGGCTCATCAGAGACTTTGGCACGTGCAACTTCTACTTGCTCTGCAATATTGCAACTATGCCATGGAGGTTTTGTTGAAAGAGAATAATAAAGAAAGCATAGGACCCAAGGCCAAAAGCGTAAATCTAGTGAGTTTGTCTACTAAGGTCACAGTCCTATTCACTTTGGGCATGTTTGAGTTTTGATCATTGATCCGGGAACCGCTCTTCCAGATGCTAAAATAACTAGTCTTTCAAGAAAACAAATATGGAAATGCAATATTTAGATTAATGGTTTCAAAACCGGTAGTCTAGATCAAGAATCACCATTCTTGATAGGGAATCGGTCCAAATCGACATGTTCCTTGTTGGAATTGGGAACCAATCCGATTCTTATGGACTCGCTGAATTCCATCACGAAATTGGGCGAACCTATCAGGGAACTAGATGATGCGGATGAATCGAAACACCAGCTCCCACACAATATTTTTTTATTCCCCACCCAGCCCCACTCCTCTCTCTCTGTCTCTCTCTCTCTCTGAACTAATCCTCACATAAAAGAATCGGTCCAATTTGCCAATCAGTCTATACACCAAACCAAACCAGTTTTTTGAATGCTTGAATTGCCCAATCGATCGGCTATACACCGAACCAAATGTGCCCTTTCTATACATTGGGATAAAAAATAGTTGTTCAATCCATCAATGACTGGTGAGGCTCAAGCCCAAACCATTTGCTCTATTGGAAGAGTATACATGGAGACCATGTACTTCTGATATAAGGAGGTCAAAGTCATTTTTGTCCATTAGATTTTAAATCAGGTGTATATAAGTGTGGCATTGACTAGGTTTAAAGTTCAAAAAAAAACTTTCTCAAATTTCGTGACACACCCCAAGCCACCCAATTTGAATTAGATGGTTAGGGTTATTTGTGAAGGGCTTGTAATTAAGGTGAATGGTCTCATATTATACAATATATTTAATATTAATATTGTGATATCAGTCAAAATGCAAAGACTAAACTATTGATATATGGGGAGGCCCAATGCCACCTTAATGTGGTTTTGGGCCTCAATAGCCCATATCACTGCCCAATTACCAATTGCATATCTTTTTTTTTTCATAAGAAAAAGTGTTTTGTGAGTCGGGGGACTCACTAGCCTACACAATCACAAATGTCCATGTTTAAGATTAACATCCACAACTAAAGATTCCTATTCAATGGATAGGACAAAATTCTAACAATTTTTTTTTTAAAAAATTATTGTATTACATTCATGATTATCATAGTGGAGATTATGGACTACAAATTTGGATTTGGATTCAAGATCAGTGCAAGTAATGGGTGTTCAAGGGAGTCCGCATGAAACTACTATGAGTCGGGGGACTCATAAAAACCGGGTCCGTTTTACAAATGGCGAAAGGACAAGGCTTTTATTAGCCTAGTAACTCACCTATTTAAATGAATCCCGTCTTGGTTTTCAAGAAACTCTTACCCAATGTTCTAAGACTCCTCTGAGGTCACTCAAACTTGGTCGAGTAACTCAGCCTCACCCTATGAGCGAGGCAAGTTTTAGGCGAGTAGGTTGCACAACGTTTTAATAATGTTCTAAGACTCATCCGAGGTCACTCGGACTTGGCCGAGTAACTCGACCTCACCCTGTAGGCGAGGTGAGTAGGTTGCACAACATTTTAGTAATGTTCTAAGACTCGTCCGAGATCGTTTTAAGACTCGTCCGAGGTCACTCGAACTTGGCCGAGTAAGTTGGCCTCCCCTATGGGCGAGGCGAGTTTTGGGCGAGTAGGTTGCTCAACGTTTTAGTAATATTCTAAGACTCGCAACGTTTTAGTAATATTCTAAGACTCACAACGTTTTAGTAATATTCTAAGACTCCGAACGTTTTAGTAATATTCTAAGACGCGTCCGAGGTCACTCGGACTTGGCCAAGTAACTCGGCCTCACCCTATGGGCGAGGCGAGTTTTGGGCGAGTAGGTTGCACAACGTTTTAGTAATGTTCTAAGACTCGTCCGAGGTCACTCGGACTTGGCCAAGTAACTCGGCCTCACCCTATGGGTGAGGCGAGTTTTGGGCAAGTAGGTTGCACAACGTTTTAGTGAAGTTTTAAGACTCGTCCGAGGTCACTCTTCTAGGAATAAATTTTAGCAAGGCGAGTTTTGGACGAGTCGGTTGTACAACGTTTTAGTAAAGTTCTAAGACTCGTCTGAGTTTACTCGTATCGGAATAAAAATTTTAGTTCAAGTTATTAGTAAGGAATCAATTTTACCCCGTCAAATTCCACTATTGTACATCACTTTTACTGGGAATGGAACACAAGACTTCTTGTAAAGAGGTCCATTTTCATACAGGGAATTATAACCGACACACCGGCTTACTATTTAGTACATAAAAAAGCGTCGCTCATAATATATGACTATTATTTTATCTCCATTTTTTATTAAAAAAAAATGAGTTGCACTCGGGCGAGTTATTGGACTGAGCCTGAGTAAATTGTCTCGGCCAAAGCCTGAGTACCTTGGCCGAGTTAATTTTTTGATCACTTCTTTTACCATTGTAAACTCCTGCATATAAAAGGGGATCCGTAGCTAGAAGACGAACCAACAAAGTCATGAGGATGGAAGAAGTGTCATGGCCAGCCACCATAACAAGAATGACATTATCAATGATCTCCTCACTCAGTGTCCCTGCACCATCTTCATCCTTAATACTGACCAAAGACAAAATGAGGTCCCTCTGCAAAGGCTCACTTCCTGAACCCAAGTTGAGGTTTCTT